CGATGCTGATTATACAAGTTAGTTATGGGTAGGAGATCAAACACTAGGTATTGCACCTTCCTTGGCGAAAATCTAGTAACTTTAAGAATAAAAAACAAAGCATGGTAGCTAGATCTAGTGTCAAAGCAAAATTTCGAGCAATGGCTCAAGGAATACGAGAATTGCTATGACTAAAGATTATATTAGAAGACTTAAAGATAAAGTGGGATGAACCTGTTGGAAGTCTCACATCACCTGTCTCATGTCATTTGGTATGGTTTAAATACATGTTAGGCTACTCCACATATTGTCAATTGGTTTTATATTGGAACCTTAACATGATATTAGAGACAAAGCCTAGCATCTTTCCGATTATTGTCTTGGGCCAAGAGTTGTCTTTTCATTATGGGTCAAAAGTACCCTTTGCCTAGTCCGGCAGGCTTCATTAGAGGAGGCGTGTTAGAAGTCCCACATCGTCTGTCTTATGTCATTTGGTATGGTTTAAATACATGTTAGACTACTCCACATATTGTCAATTGGTTTTATGTTGGAACCTTAACAGAACCTATGAAGTTATATTGTGACAATAAATATGCAATCAGTATAGCTCACAACAAAATACAAGATGATAGAACTAAACACATTGAAGTAGATAGACATTTCACCAAAGAAGAGCTAGATAGTGGCTTGATTTGTACTCCATATGTGTCTACTCAAGGATAGCTGGCAGACATACTTACCAAGGGCTGAACAGTAGTAACTTTGAGAGAATTATATCCAAGCTAGGAATGGAAAACACTTATTCACCAACTTGAGGGGGAGATATTTTAGAAAGTTTTAGATTTTGTGCCTATTGGTTTTAATTTTGTATATTGGTTATATCTTGGTTTTATTACTAGCACATCAATCCCACAATCTCAGGGATTTGTTTCCTAAAATAGGTTGTTCTTGTTTCCTAATTTACCCGATCAGTCTATCTATATATATCAAATGTAAGTAACAAGACAGAATAAGGGTGAAATTATTTTCTTCTAAAATTGAGACGAGTTTTCCATGTAATTTTCAACACTTCTCCCTTAAGTGGCATGGCTTGTTGCAATAGGTATACCAAACCTCCTCATGTTTCTCTCCATATTAGGAACTCTGGAAAAATAGATTAACTGAAATATGATTTTTTTATTATTTCAATACAAAGAGATGATATAAGATATATACAGGAGACCTAAGCTATTTTAGGAAATATAATAACTCTATTTTATGCTAGGATCCCTTGATTTATGGGATTGTTCCTAATTATTCAAATCTGTACAGATTACAAGGAAATATACAAATTTCCTGATTTATTCTTTCCTAAAATACTATTTGATTTCCCACACTCCCCCTCAAGCTAGTGAATAGATGTTTTCCATTCCCAGCTTGAATACAATCTTCTCAAAATTATGGCAGCCCAGTCCCTTGGTAAGAATGTCGGCAATTTGGTCTTGAGAGGACACATATGGAGTGCATATCAAGCCACTATCAAGCTTTTCTTTGATGAAGTGTCTGTCTTCTTCAATATGCTTTGTTCTATCATGCTGCACTGGGTTGTGGGCTATACTGATTGCTGACTTATTATCACAATAGAGCTTCATAGGTTCTTCCCAATTTATCCTCAAGTCTTCTAAGATGATTTTAAGCCATAGCAACTCACATAACATAAACGTGTCCTCCTTTCCTTGAGGAGCCTCCTTTGTGTCCCCCTTCTCGATCTCGGTTTAAAGGCTTCTCATGTAACTTCCAACACTTCTCTCGGGTATGACGAGGTTTATTGCAGTAGGTACACCAGAGACCATCACCTTTCTTCTCCACATTTGCTGATCCTCCTTTCTTCTGTTCGGTTACCATGGCCAAAGTTTGATCTCCTTTATGGTCCAGTGCTGAGTTCTCTACTGCTGGACTCTCTAACATGAGACCCCTTCTACTTTCTTCACTTCTCACAATAGCCACCACTTCATTGAGGCATGGTACCTTTTGCTTCCCCAATATTTGAATCCTAACTTGATCAAATTCAGGATTCAAACCAACAAGGAAATCATAAACTCTGTCTTGTTCGATATACTCCTTGAGAAGTGTTGAATCTTCAGTACATTTGGCTTTTATGACTCTATAATGGTCTAGTTCCATCCACAATGATTTCAATTGATTGGCATATTCCGTAACAATCTTGTTCCCTTGTTTTGTCGCCAAAGTTTTCACCTTTACTTCATATATTTGAGCAACATCTTTGGCTTTAGAGTAGGTTTGCTCTACAAGCATCCCAAATATCTTTTGCCGAATTAAGGAACATGCAGGTGTCGCTGATTTCTGGAATCATTGAATTCCACAGCCACGCCATGATCATTGAATCTTCTTCATCCCATGTAGTAAACATGGGATCCTCCTGTTTAGGTCCAGACTCCATCAGGTGACTCAACTTCCCCTTTCCCTTCAACACTCGTACGAACAAGTTGGGCCAATTCAAATAATTTCTTCCATTTAGTCTATATGCGGAATGAATATTCTGCAGCTTCTCAGATTGCTTGGGATTGGGTATTCCCTGTTTCGGGTTTGGATTCGCAACTTCCTCTTCCCTTGACATCATAGCAAGGAGGTGTGATGCAACAGCAATGCAGGCTGTCGTCTTAGGTCATCTTAGGGTTAAGAAAAATGCAGCAGCAATGCAGGCTGTCGTCTTAGGGTTAAGAAATATGCAGCAGCAATGTAGGCTTCCGTCTTAGGATTAAGAAAAATGCAGCAGCAATGTAGGTTACCGTCTTAGGGTTAAGAAAAATGCAGCAGCAATGTAGGCTGTCGTCTTAGGGTTAAGAAAAAATGCAGCAGCAATGCAGGCTGCCGTCTTAGGGTTAAGAAATATGCAGCAGCAATGTAGGTTGCTGTCTTAGGGTTAAGAAATATGCAGCAGCAATGCAGGCTGCCGTCTTAGGGTTAAGAAATATGCAGCAGCAATGCAGGCTGCCATCTTAGGGTTAAGAAATATGCAGCAGCAATGTAGGCTGTCGTCTTAGGGTTAAGAAATATGCAGCAGCAATGTAGGCTGCCGTGTTAGGGTTTATCGCACGAAGACATAGCTTCCTAGATCGGAAGCTCTGATACCATCTGGAAAAATAGATTAACTGAAATATGATTTTTTTATTATTTCAATACAAAGAGATGATATAAGATATATACAGGAGACCTAAGCTATTTTAGGAAATATAATAACTCTATTTTATGCTAGGATCCCTTGATTTATGGGATTGTTCCTAATTATTCAAATCTGTACAGATTACAAGGAAATATACAAATTTCCTGATTTATTCTTTCCTAAAATACTATTTGATTTCCCACAGGAACCTTGAATTTCCTCTAACTAGCAATATGGTCGTTTCACCTTCAACCATCTTTGTTGGGTTTTGTTGACTTTTCAATAGTTGAGGTCTCCAACATTAGTACTCTTCTACTTTCTTCACTTCATTAAGGCCCAAGACTTTCTCTTGTTCAATATACTCCTTAAGGATTGATGAGTCTTTTGAACATTTTGCTTTTATTACTCGATAGTGATCAAATTCCATCAATAGGGACTTGAGTTTATTGCCATATTTTGTACTTGATTTGCTTTCGTGTTTGGCAACCACAGTTTTCATCTTTACGTCATATAGATTTGAGCAACATCCTTGGCCTTATAATAGGTTTGTTCTACTTCTTCCCGAATTTCTTTTGTTTTTAAGAAACATGCAGGTATCATTGATTTCTAAGACCATTGAATTCCACAAGCCATGCCATGATTATGGAGTCTTCTTCATCCCATGATTTGATCTTGGCATCATTAGGGGCATTAGAGACCATTAGAGATAATCATTTCCATTTAATCGATAAGTAGAATGAATATTTTGCAATTCTTCAGCAGTTTGGGATCAATCCCCAGTTTCCAGACCAAGATTCACAATCTTGGCCATTACAAGTGGGTATAGTCAAGGTAAAGAGGGTTACAGTGCTAGGGATCAAGGTTATGCAATAATGAAGGTTGTGTCGTTGGGTTTATAGACATGGTCAAAGGCTCCCAGATTAGGAGCTTTCATACCATCTTAAAAGAAGGAATAATATTCTACTTTAGTGCATCAATTATGAGGTCATTGGACCTATAAATACATGAACCAACTGTTATTTTAGGAAATATAAATAGCTAATTCTAAGAAGACAAATCCTTGTGATTATGGGATTGTTTCTAAATACATAAACCTAGTATTAATTAGCATGATACAACTAAAATAAAGAATAAAATAACGGCAAGGATAAAATATAAAACTTCATAAAATACACAATGAGTAACACGATTTTGATACCCTCAAAAAACAAAAAGTTATCGTAGGAGAGATGAAAACATGGATAGAGTCAGTTTCAACTTTCAAGTATGCATCAATGTACAATAGTTTTCTAAGATACTTCTCATAAAAATCATTTAAAGAATAAGAATTTGATAGGATTAAATTGATAGAATGGAAGATTTTGGTTAAAAGAACACCAAATGAGCCTATATTTTATTAAATTTCTCCTTACAACCTTTTAACCAATTTCTAACTACAAACTACCACTCCTTACCCTCCTATTTATAAGCTATTCAATTATAGTTGTATTTCCCCTCTATTAGCCCTTCCATACACTCTCTTAACCACTGGTCTCCTACCAGAATTACAAGATGAATTATACATTACAACAACAACAACCAAAAGTCTGATGCACATCACATGCTGCTCCTGCATTCATATAGGTGTGATCATACAAGTATGAGCATGCACTTAGACACAATCAAATCATTTAGAATGAAAAACTTGACTAGACCAAAACAAAAATCATTTGGCTAGATAAATTCAATACTTTGCCTAAATTTCTTCCTCAGTTTGATCAAATATCACGTGGCAAAGATCTAATAAAAAAAATTATTAATGAAAATGCACATATAATACAAGCCAATTGCAGAAAAAGAAAAAAAGGACAAATGCTTCTTACTTTTCAAAAGATAATAGTCTCTTCCATGCTATCCACTGCATTTCTTCCTGTGAGAATTAAATTAAGAACTAAAACTAATCATGATCTTAGACACATAACAAGCATAAAATGACATTTGTAGCTTCACTTATTATTATAAGGTTTTAGGATATTCATGGCATGATCTTGGACACTTTATAACCAAGTGGTCTAGAACTCAATCCTTAATATTGTCAATGATTGAAACCCAAATTAGCTATGTCAGCAAAACAAAACAAAAAAAATTAACATGCTGCATTTGGTAATGTCATATGAGATGTAATTGAAATATAAGCCCCACTGAGAAGATGATGTCATCTCAAATGGAAGATGTGGAAGAAGATAAAAGTGTTCATTCCATTAACATCAAGCGTACAGCTTAATCTGTGTAACCAGCATCTTTTCCAAAAATGACTAAATAAAAAAATGTACATCAAGCTGTACAACACATAGCCAACTACTGCAGACAGGACAATGACATCAATATCAGCACAAACAAAACAACACCAAGTTAATTTGATTAACATTTCGACAAGAAGAGCCCTCTTTCCTATACTTTCATTACCCAAATTACATTTTCTAGAGATCCACAGTTGCATGCTTTGATGTGGGAAATTATCCAACAACAATTATCCCTGATAAGAAGAAAAAGAAATTTGCCTTGTAGGATCCACTTGGTGGTACAGCAAGCATATTCCAATCAATTTCATCAACATACTTCTTCCTTTCACGGTAAACTGCCCTAGCACTATTATATTTCGGTTGATATTCAGATATTAGTCCTTTAGCCTGCAGAACACCTTATCATCAAATTACATGCAACCAAAGAAGAAGAACTACAGACTAATAAATACAAATCAACAGCGGAAGCATTTTATCATAATCAATATCATACCAACTGACGACTAACAGAATTTTCAAAGTTTTCATAGTCCTTCCAAAGTTGTTCAATGTGATGTGTAGGAGTAACAATAGCCTTCTGATAGACTTTCCTCACAGTAGTCATCCGGTGTGACTCTTCTTGACCATTTATAGCCTGTAACATATCATTCAATTAGACCCAAAAATATGAAAAATAATACCTAATTATGCACCAACGATGCCAAAAAATATGAAAGGTTAACCAAACAAACCGGCAATGATTTTAAAAAGGCTATGTACTCCATCCACACAGGGCCAGATGCTATGTCTGCTCCTGTTATCACATGATTAAGTGTCAAGGTATATTTATATATTAATAATGCATAAATACATTTATTCATGGATACATCCTCCCTTTTCCCCCTAATTCATACATATATATAACAGAGATCCTCCCTTTCCTCCTAATATCCAAATAACTTCAAACAATAACAGTGAATTCTGGAATTAATAGTGAGTTGTAGCAAAACAAATTATTCGGGGGAAAAGTTAGCTAGCATAAGGCTTTTCAGACATAAAACATAGGTGAAATCTAATTCAAAAGCTTAAGCATTAACTAGCACACGTTTATTTATATAAAAAAAAATGCTGGCTTCAATTAGACTAAAAAATATAAAACTACCTGTGAGTAGATCTATCAAATGATTTATCAAATAACATAAAAAGTTTACAATTATAATGTTTATTAAGAAAAATTATACAATTATGAACAATTACTTAAAATTCAAAACTCAAGCATATCACCAATAGCCCCATGCCTAAATCAGACCAGTTTTACTTCAATAAATCTCTTATAATTAATATTTTCTTTTAAATTGAACTCTTCAATAAATAGAATTTCAAAGGTACCCCAAATCAATAGAAAGACAAAAACCACTAACATATTTATCAATACATTATACTTCATAAACAGCAACAAAGCCTTATCTGACAAGGCCTGATAGGCTACAAAGATTTGTCATTACCAATAGGCTGACTTGAACCAATCAACTCCAATATACAAGTCCCCGTTCTAGAAAACAAGATAACCTTTTATTGTACTATTCTTAACATGTAGCCACATGTCTTCATTTGGAGAGTCTTCGCCACATGTCTTATGTGTTTTTATATCAAATCAATATATTTACCCTTAATTATCTATTCAATGAAGAAAGGTTTAGTTTCTTTAATTCTCAAAATTCTTCATTAAACGAAAAATATACTGATATATTTGCATAATACAAATAAAGTTTCACCAGTATAACAAACTTTCATTAAGATTGTGAGTCATGTCGACTAGAAGAGCATTTTAGTGTTTCTACTCCCAAAAGAACTAAAACTCTATGTAACTCTATATTTTAAATAGTTTATTCTAACATTTAGGGTCCAAGTCAGATCACATTTTTTTATTTTTCTATTTTGTCACATTTATTGCTGAATATTCTCATTGTACTAGGGTTTATTTAATAAAAGATTTATCTGATCATTCGAATACCTTTGTGCTTTCCTTAAGAAAATTAAAAACCAATTTGACCAAATTATCAAGATCTTATAATACTTCTCATCTACCTTTTCTACTTCTAAATTCACATGACAGTTTACACCAATCCAACTTTTCTCATACACCTAAACAAAATCATATAAAAAAGACAAAAAAATTGACACTTAATTAAAATTGCTCGTACTTATTGCTTGGTGTCAATATATTTGTCCATCACTAGGGTGATGTCACTAGTACACAAGAGGCTTTTTACATATGTTATTTTGAAATTTTTATGTCTAACTAAGCACATTTTGAACTAGTGTGCTATTCTTACTGCACATTTTTCTAAGAAACACCTTTCTTCCATGCAAGATGTTATTTTTTGTTGAAAATCCCACATCGCCTACCTCATGTTATTTGGTATGGTTTAAATACATGTTAGGCTAATCCACATATAGCCAATTGGTTTTATGTTGGAACCTTAACTTGGTATCAGAGCCAAAGCCACATCTTTCCGGTTATTGTCATGGGCCAAAAGTTGCCCTTTAGTTGGGTCAAAGGGTCCAGCAGGCTTCGTTGGAGGGGGTGTGTTCAAAGTCCCACATCGCCTACCTCATGTTATTTGGTATGGTTTAAATACATGTTAGGCTAATCCACATATTGCCAATTGGTTTTATGTTGGAACCTTAACTTTTTTGTCCAACAAGTATTCCCCATGCCCTTGATTGAGTTTTGTGTTTTTTGTTCCTAACATTATTCAAACCTTTCCCCATGGTCCAAGTTCCTCTCCTCATCCAAGTCCATGTAGACCATCACCCACCCCTTTTCTCACCTATAAACGACGAACTCGAATGATTAGTCCAACTTCACATGATGAGTCCTCTTCATCAAGTCTTTCACCATCTATGGAGCACCTTCCAATAATGAAGATACTAGTTGGTCGATTACTATTCGAAAAAGTACTTGCCCTTATTGCAATCCTCATCCTATTTACAATTTTCTAAACTATCATCATTTGTCTCCTTCCTATTTTTCTTTTATTTCCTTTGTGACTTCTATTACCGTTCATAAAAATGTGAATGATGCCAACAAGCCATGATTGTTAAAAAGTAAGCTCTTGCACATAATGGTGCATGGGACTTACTTAGTTCCTTTTCCACCTAGAAATAAGGTTGTAGATTGTCATTGGGTTACACCGTTAGGCCAAATGGTTAAGTTGATCGTCTCAAGGCTAAATTGGTGGCCAAAGAATACATTAATGTATATGGCTTTGATTATGATATGTTTTCTCCTGTACCAAAAATGACTAATGTCTGACTCTTCTTTGTCATGGTAACTGTTTGTCAGTGTTCTATCCATCAATTGGATATCAAGAATATTTTCTTTCATAGTCATCAAAAAATTAAATTTACATAGAGCAATCTCTTGGATTTATTTCTCAAAGGGTGGGGGGGAGTCTAGTTTCGTTTGTAAATTACATCACTCTCTTTGCAACCCATTTATATACATTTTAGATTTAAAAAAATATTTTCTAAAATCTACCTACAAGTAAAGTAAGCATATAAAGAAAACTCTAACTTTTATTATCTAACTTGGTTTTCCTATTAGGTGTCACGTTACCTCCTCATCATCAATAGAATAATAGACCACCTTAACTTAATTCAATTTCACTACACCAAATTTGTGCCGATTTCTTGGAGGTAATTGTGTCGTTGAGTAGTCATCATGCCACCTAGAAGTTCAATGAGGTGTAGTCATCGTACTACCTAGAATTCTAACGAGGGAGTAGTTGCACTACATAGTTGGAGGTCATCATGTCATTGTCTTCTCTTCTACTCGTAGGTCTTTTTCTTTTCAGCTAGGTAAGTCTTAGATCCCTCAATCTCACAAAAATCACATTTCAATTCAATTCAATGTTACTTGAATCTAAGATTTTGTTTCGAAAAGCTTCCAAAAATGCCAACACATGGGTCCTTGCCAAGTGCCTCAAAGAGGTGTGGTAGTGGGAATTTGGGCATTTCCTAATTTATATGGCTTAGATGATTTATATGGCAATGGGTCTGTGCCAAGTGTATTACTGCTATAATTCTTATGGCTTAGAAATTTAAGTAATTATACATATGGTTGTTGAGTGTTTGTTATAGGGAATTTAAGTCAAAAAGTTTGAAGGACATGTAATTATGAATTGTTTGAAAGGGTTACAGAATTATTTGGTGTAATGATTTTGTTATACCTACAATTCTTTTCTTTTAGTTGCTTTAGTCTTAGGTTGAGCATCTACTATAATAATTTCAATACCAACTTGTTTGTCTATGGAAGTGGTAGTTCCCCAATTATCCCTAGTCTCCATGATGCTCTTAATTTTTGTGGAATTAAAAATGGGTTGACCCGTGCTACATTTGTTGTATTATTGCTATATTTTAGCTCAATTAAATTTTTTACTTAATACATATGTTAATGATTGATGTTTGTTTAACATATGGGTTTTTTACTTTTATTTTTTTCTCAAATTAATTTGCAATATGGAATTTGAAACTATTCAATGAAGTGTCAATGGGAATTGCATTTCTAAGTAAAGAAAAGCCTAATGAGTCAACTTCAATTAACAATGAAGATAATGATGTTCAAAAAGAGAGTAAGAAATCTACGATTTGTACATCTAAAGTTTGGAAATATTTTTCTAAAATTGGTGTGAAAGATGGCAAAGAGAAGGCTATATGTGATGCATGTGGGAAAGAGTATGTAATTGGTGGGTCTAAAATAGGTACTTCAACATTATTGTGTCATTTGAAAAAATGAAACATTAGCCAAGACGTAGATAAAATGATAAGTGACAATATGGAAAAATTAAGGAGTAGGGAACTTGATCACAAACGTGTTTATGAGATCATGACAAATGATATAATTAAACTTGGCTTGGCATTTAAATTTGTTTAATATAAATGGATTAGGAAATTGCTTTCATATTAAATCCAAATGAAAAGTATGTGAGTAGGACAATAGTATCTGATTTGTGGAAATTTCGTATTGAAATGAAGGAGAAATCAAACATGAAATGCATAAATTTCATACCCAAATTTGTTTGATATGAGATTGTTGGACTGCTTTTACTCAAAGCGGATATATTTGTTTAACAGCACATCAGCAATGCATGAATTGAAACTACCATGCGCTGAAATCCAAATTTTATTTAGAAAAATGGAAGAAGCAAGGATTAAACTCCAGACATTTGGTAATAGAAACTCTAATATCAGGTTAGGAACCCACTACCTAACAGTTTAAACTATTGGATAAAGACAGAATAATGGTTTTATATCAAACAAGCTCCACAAAAAGCATGTTTCCAGTAAAACAACTGAAAGCAATATATAGTATTTGTGTCTCCTATATCTTATGTCTTTTCTCTACCCATCTAATGGGCCTAATTTATTATCCACTTCTCACAAGGGGCCTCTAATCAAATCCTCTTTTCACCAAAGTCTCTACTGCTTGCTTCTCACACAACCAAATCATCTTACTTGAGTTTCCCTCATCTCCTAAATAGGTGCTACTTGAATCCAACAACTACGACAATGCAAACAGGACAGAGGAGAACAACTTACCAACACAGTTAAGCATAAAATCAAAAGCTTTTCTTGTCTCTTCTTGACCCTCCATGCCCTTCTTGTCATTGACCTTTCTAATGAAACGAATGTAGCACCGCCTAGAAATCAGAGATAAGAAACAAGAAGATAGATTGAAACAAAAACTTCATTTTCATGTAACACAAGACAGGCCAAATAAGCAGGCTGCTTCATGCATTTTCACAAGAAAAACAATCTTATGGAAATTTAACATCAAACATAATGTAGGATAGAGAAGATGGGACACAGAATGCAAGATATAACAGCCATTTCTATCAGAAAAAGAAATAACTAAAGTACAAAGAACTTGAGAACACCTGCTGCAGAAATTAAGCATTTTTCAAGATCTTCTGTGCTTTAATTATTTCTGTTTGAGCACCGTATTAGAAGAGCAGTTATATTTCACTTCATTGTTAGCAAAGTAGTCAAGTCAATTATCCAACTGACTAGACACTGTTAAGTCAGTTATCAACTAACTATAGGCAGTTAATAAAGACAGTTACATAGCTGTCACCATGACAAAGTACCGTCCTATAAATACATCAGTGTAGCCTTTGATCTTTAAGAAGTAAAAATCAGATTACTCTTCTTCCTGAACCTCTTTCTTACTTAGAACATCTTTTAACTGTTATATGTAAACTGTCCAATATTTTATAGAATTTACCCTTGCAACACTATCCATTAATAACAATTGGTCAGGTCCCCTAAATTAAGCAAAACAAACTAACTATAGGCACTTAATAAAGACAGTTACACAGCTGTCACCATGACAAAGTACCGTCCTATAAATACTTCAGTGTAACCTTTGATCTTTAAGAAGTAAAAATCAGATTACTCTTCTTCCTGAAACCTCTTTGTTACTTAGAACATCTTTTAACTGTTATATGTAAACTGTCCAATATCTTATAGAAGTTACCCTTGCAACACTATTCATTAATAACAATTGGTCAGGTCCCCTAAAGTAAGCAAAACAATTAAACCGTAAAAGATATTTGTAGCGTGTCCTCTTCCCAGAAACATCCCTATACCCACCCCTAGCTGAAATCATGCAGTAAAAAAAGTAAGCATAAACAAGACTGAGCAAACAATATACCACAGAGGAATCTGGAGACAATGCAACAAACACCTACTAAAAATCTGTTTTGTAGCATCATCATTATTTGCAGCCATATGTGCCTCCACATATTGCCTCCAAAACTTGGCCTGAGCGCAAACAAGTACCAAGAAAAAATCAGCCCTTAGCAGAAGAAGCGACACAATTTCAATCACAAAACACAATCAAACCCAAATTGCTTCCAGAATATCACCAAAGTACTCAACAAGAACACTTACAGCAGTTGGAAACAACAGAAGAAGCTGCTCGTATATAGGTGTGGCCTCCGCAACAGGCAAATGCTGAACAGCATAGAAACAAGATGAATGAGCAAATGGGTATTCGAAAGTATGAACTTGGGAAGTGGATCCGAACCTGAGCCTCATTTGCCAAGATTTCCGCAGTTTCAATGTTGTACTTGTCTCCTCCACTGGTTTTATCCTAAAAATAATTTAAATTAAATGAAAAAAAGGTCAATTTTTTAAGAGCATCCACAACGTAGGAGGAAAGAATAAAGGTGTGTACCATGTTGGAGGTTAGAAAAAAATGATGCAGAGAGTTACGCTTTCATGTGGCCCAATTGAAAAGGGTAGTAAAGGGGAAGAAGAAGCGGGTGTTTTGTTTTCAGAGAAAACGAGGATTAATTGAAAATAATTTTGGTGAGGATGGAGAGGGGAATTTTGGCTTGGCTTTTAGAATGGTTTATTGCTGCCACTCACGCTTGCAGAGGCAGCCTTCTTCAGCTTCACAGTTAGATGAGTCGGGTAAGTTATTCAAACAATCAAATTATTCTACGGAGAAGAAATGAAGATAAAGTATAAAAATATTATAACAATAATAATAATAATAATAATAATAATAATAATAATAATAATAATAATATTTTAAAGATCATAAATTATATTATAACTTAAAAAAATATGATTCAATTGAAATTAAAAAAAAATAACACACTCTTATTAACCACTCTTAAAAAATATGATTCGATTGAAATTTAAAAATAATAACATACTTTTATTAACGACTATTGAAAATAATAATAATAATAATAATCTATAATTATTTAATATTTAATAAGTTTTTTCATCTTATATAAATTAATAAATAAAAATAATAAAAAATTATTATGTCTTTTTTATTCATAGTTATATGGTTTCCTCTCTTTTTTCCTTTTACCTGATACTCTTTTTCCCATTTGCATATATTAGATAAATATTTAATTTTAAAATTAATATCTATATTAATTTTAATTTATTAAAACAAAAAGAATAATAGAAATATAAACATAAATGGTCATGAACACTTATATTTCCACTTTATCTTCATTTTCAATCACATGTATTTCTAAACCTATGGATCCTTTTCTTATTTCTCTGGGTTACTTTTATATTTTACTTATTCTTGACTATGTATCAAGACGTGTCAAGGTTAAGTCTGTTAGTAGTAATGATTATAAAGTTCTTTTAGATTGTCATATCTAACAATTTTTTTCAAGTTTGGTGTACAAAAGTCATTATTAGTGATGAACCATTTTTGCAACGGTACTATGACAGCTTTGTTCTGAAAGTATAGGGTCACTCATAGAATTTTTACATCAGATCACATTTGATTAATGGGCAAGTTGAGATTTTTAATAGAAGATTAAGAAAAATTTTATAGAAATTAGTTTATCCAAAGAGGAAAAATTGCAACAAGATGGTGGATGGCGCTTTATAGGCTCATAGGCTTCCTTATTATACTTTCACCCGATAAATTCCTGACTTGTACGATTCCCATTAGGTGTGTATGTTTAATCTCTTTTTTTTTTGGTCATCCTACTTGACATCGTCTACTTCCATGTTGAGAGACAATTCTAAATTTGACTTTAGTTATGTGGTTGGTAGGTTGTTGAACGAGAGATTCTCCAAATGTTCAGAGTCATAATATCCTTTCATGAAAGCATCGTTATACATGCTCTTGTTGGGTTGTGGGATTTTGAGTGTTATGTTGCGAAGAAATGGTTTAATATACTCCTTTAGGGATTTGTTACTGTTTGTGGGTAAATTGGTTCGATTTTATTCTCTAACTATATATCACTTTTTTTAAAATAAATTAATATTTCAAGAATATTACCATGTGGGTTTTTTTTTTAAGATTAACAATTAAACACTTTTTAATTTAGATAATTCTTTTAATTATGTTTTGACCGGCCACAATCATTTAATTCTTGATTACAAACACATATCACACAATCATTAATATAATGTCAATTTTTATGAGTGATTTCTCATATATCAATTTAAATTTTTAATATAAATTTCCACGTTTAAGATAGAGTGTAAAAATATAATTGTGCAAAAAAATAATTGTGCAAAGAAAGTATATTGTAAAAAAGTTAAATATGCGATAAAGATAAATTATAGGAAAAGTGAATCTAACCTAATAACAATGATAAAATCGAAATTAATAAAGAAACACAATAAAAGTAATGACTAAAATTGTCAAGAACTCCATTGAAAAAGTTTTTCTTTGTCCACAACTTGTTTTCATAATGTAAGTGTCTTATTACAATTTATTACCCTTAATTACACTTATTTCATCTTATTTATATATTATTTTGTGTAACGCGAGAATTAAAACAAAATTAAAACAATTTTTTTTCCAATAACTATTCCCCTTCCACCATCCAACATCATTTCCAACAATCTTTCATATCTACAACATCTCTACAAATGATAATTTTCTTGATAAAATCATACAACTTATACGTACCAGTTACATGATATATTACAAAAATCAACTTTTAACTTCTATCATCGAGTTTCTTCCTCCTCTCATTTGGAACATATCTTCAAGCAATCGAGTAAAATATTTTCAAATGTTCTATATTTGGTGTTTCCCTAAACCATACTTCTTTTGGAGTTTTTTCCTTTACTCTTTTTATTGGACATAGATTCAAGATGTATCTAGTTGTCAATCCTACTTCAACCCAAAATGAATATGACAAACATTTGGTCTTCAACATACTTCTGACTATATTTAAAATCATTTGATTTCTTCTTTCAACAACACCATTGCGTTGTGGTGTGTATGTGGGTAAAATCTCATGCAAAATATCGTTCTCTTGACAAAATGATGCAAATTCATCATTGTTGTACTCTTCACCACCGTTTGATCTTAATACTTTGATAGTTCTACCACTTTGTTTCACAACCATCGATTTAAAATCAATGAAACGACTAAATACCTCTAACTTCTTCTTGAGCAAGTACACTCACATCTTCTTGCTATAGTCATCGATGAATGTCACAAAATACATTTTACCACCTAGTGAAGGAACATTGAAGGGTCCACACACATCGATGTATATAACTTCCAATACATCCTTACTTATGATCTTGATGCGTACGTTAAAGGGATTTCTGGCTTGTTTTCCTACCTTACAACTTTCACATATGTCTTTACACTTTTGGACTCAAAGCATTCCAATCACCATCTTCTTCTCTGTAAGTTGGCTTAAACTATCAAATCCAAAATGACTATATCTCAAATATCACTACCAATTTCATCTGAGACTATTGATACAAAACACAAGTTATTCAATACTAAAATATCGACTCGAAAAACTCTGTGTTTTACTAGAGGTGCCTTCAAAATTGGTGTCACATTCTTATAAAGGATTCTCAACACTTGCCCTCGATCTCCAATCGATCAAATACCTTTTTTGTAGTAGTTATCCACCACTCAGCAGATTGTGCTTTATGGCTGAAACATAAAACACATCCGAAATTATTGTAGATTTGTCATCTCTTCTTTTGATCATGATTCTACCTTTCCCTTCACAATTCACTATCGAATTATCTATAAATTTTATCTTCAATCTAATACTTTCATCGAGATCGACGAACCAACTCCTTTGAAATGACATATGATTTGAACAACCAGTATCTAAGTACCAAGATTCACCAAAAGTCTGCACTAGTTTCGTCGAGGTCACCATCAACAGTACTTCATCCTCTGAGTCTTCTTTTTTGTGTCACATTTGCTTCTTTTTCTTTGCTCCAACAGCCAGTAGCATAATAATTATACTTGTTATTGTTGAAAGTCCCACATCGCCTACCTCGTGTCATTTGGTATGGTTTAAATACATGTTAGGCTACTCCACATATTGCCAATTGGTTTTATGTTGGAACCTTAACAATTATAGTTATGACATTGTACATTCTTCTTACCAACATCAGAACCAGATCAACCACCTCTCCATTTTGACTTTCTTGCTCTACCACCATTATTTTTATATCTTTCTCTTCCTCGACCTCTCTTGTTTTATTTACCTTTATTATCTTCATTCTTTTGTTTCATCAATAATGTTTATTCTGCGTTGGACTTCTATCTGCTCTCTCACATAACCACTATTTGTGAGCCTCTAATGACTTCTGTAATTCACCCATCTTTAACAAATTGAAATCTTTTGACTCTTTGATAGCAACTGAAATTATATCAAATATTGTATCAAAGGTCCTCAACACCTTCTTTACCACCGCATATTCCTTCAAGCTTTCACCACATGACTTCATCAAGTTTGTGATCGACAACAATCTTGTAAAGTATTATTGGATGGTTTCTTGCGTCCTTATCTACAATAACTCATACTAACGAGGCAAGGTTTGAAGTCACATCATCTTCAACCTTCGTACTCTTGTGTAACTCTACGCCACTATGTCTTAGGCTTCTTTTGTGTTTGTCAACGAGATCTTCTCAAAATTGTGTTCATCGACACACTAATGAATGTAAAACAAAGTTTTATAATCATGTTTCTTCGTATCATGAAACATAACACATTGTGTCTTTGTGGGATTCTCCGGTCACTCATCATATTTATTCAAGACTATATCCAAGATTTCTTGGAACCCAAAGATAATATTTATCTTCACGCACTATTTATCATAACTATTCAAATTTTTGCTATCGTGCACTGACATATTGCAATGAAACCTAGTTCTTACCATTGTCATTCGATCTTCTTTCTTTTTCTTTACGAATCTTGAAGTTCTTGATATCATTGTTAACGGAAAGAGGTCTAAACAAATATTGAGATTGAGAGAAAATGAAAGTAATCAATGTATTCATAAAAGACATAAGTTCATTACACTTATTAACAACTACTGTAGAAATAAAATATTTATAATAAAAAATAAATTAGTTAGGTTAATTAATCTAACAGAAATAATTATATAATTAATGAATTATTGTCTAACACTTGCAAGATTCCTCAAGAAATTCTTAATTCTCTCGTTGCATTTAACATTTAATTAATTATATTTTTACATCATCACTAATAGGTTTCTTTTGTCATTAATATAATAAATTTTCGTATACAATTATAATTATAATTATATTCATATTCTTAATAGATGGTCTATATAACATGTGATTATTGGTGTCCATCCAACAATTTGACTTTTTGGTTTTTTAGAATTTTTTATCTTAGTTATCATGGATATTGATTATGTTATTGCTTTACATTGTATAAATTTCCTTATTTTAAATTTGGTGGCGGATAAATATTTATATTTTATTTTTGTTATCAATTCTTTAGAGTTTAGTAGCTAAAGTAAAGTCTTTCGTTTCAATCATTAAGATTATAAGCACAAGTTGTTAACGATGCCTTCAAAATCAACTTGGTGACTGAACGTTCAAAAAATTTAATGATGTAACAGTGATGATATATATATATATATATATATATATATATATATATATATATATATATATATATATATATTACGTAATATTTTTTAGTAATAAAACTAAATAAAATCATGAAAATTTTTCAATTTGAACGAAAAAAAATACCAAAAAATAAAAAATAAACACATAAGTTCATCTCCTCGTAAGCTTATATGAACATAAAAATTATATAAAAAAATGTTAAGCCATTAAATGATTATCGCATCTTTAAATAAATACTACTTAAGACATCCGATGACGCCCTTAACGTAAAACTACTCTATAAGAGAGGAGTAAAGAAAACTTACTCGAAAGGAAAGAAGGAGAAGATGAATATGAAAATACTTCTCTTATTCATGTATATAAATTTACACGAGCAGAAGAGGAATAAAGAGAAAGAGGAGAAAGAGAGAAAGGAGAAGAAAGATTTATAAAGGATCCTAAAATCAGATTGAAAATTTATAAATCAATAAATAAGTTGGTTATATATTCCGTTCCAATCAAATTCGATTTTTAAATAAATTGTTAGTAAATCTGATTAACAAAACAAGTCCTTATATGTAATTTAATCTTTATATTCATATATATAAAAACTTCATCAAAAAACTAAATTATATTTTAATGATATATGTAAAAAATAAACAAATATAAGAAATTAAAGCTACTTTTAAGAATTTTATTTGAATTTATTTAAATATTAGAATAAAATTAAAACTTCATATGCTTAAAGGAGCTAAGTGACAATTCTACCTTTATATTTCGTAAACATATGCAAAACGAACCAACGCGTACAAGGCATAAATATTTTGAAAACTACAGAGAAGAAGTAAGAATTTTTAAACATGCTAAATTGCCAATGAACTCCCGTGACTATCAAGCCCTGTGTATAGAGTATAGTAATAATCTATTTACATGAATTTTTATGTGCTACGAAGTATCAGCCATAAGTTAAATAAGTTATTGTTACATAGAAAATTCCAGAAAAATAAAATATGGAACAGACAGATTAACAATCGCACTACTTAATACTCTTTTTAGAACAATCATTCGTTAAACATGTAGAAGCTTTCAGGTGGAAGGTGAAACGCGAACCAGACAAATTCAATCATGGACGTTCCTTCACGTTATCTTCTCTGTAGGTTTTGGCCTTCTCAATGGACTTCATGGCTTCTTCAAAAGATTTCTGACAACAATGGAAGTTTAAAAAATTATACAGAAAATTTCCATGAACCAATTGCTAATTAAATGTTTATACACGAAAACAATAAATTCAATCGGTTGTTTTCTTCCATCTCCTACTTTTATTTTCTACCCATTACACAGCTCTGTTTCGAGGTTGGAGAACCTTCAGAACATGAAAGAATGGAACGAAACATTTTGATATATTTTTCCTCCCAATGCGAGGGAATATAAAGGATCTTTAACATAAATGCTATCTAACATGCTGCATAAAAGAATTCTAACAATAATACACTAACAATATTTCGGCATTCATTTTCTAGAAGATTATTCAATAGGATGAAGTCAGCTAATTATCTTGGTAGAATAATACTCCTTTTGACCTTTCAATATCCTGCCTTCTGCCAGGTTATCTGTTTTGGGCTCATCTGTATCAGTTAAATTTTGTTAAACTCATAAGATTGGTTTAGGTTGGGTCAATTGGACTGAATATTTAAATTTTATAAAAATGGAGGTGAAAAAATAACACAAAAATAGATCATTCATGATCTGATGACTTTGATGATCTGTGTATTATCACTAATATTTGTTATTCCATTCTTTTAATTTAAAAATATATAATATAAATGATAATCATTTTAATAAAATTAAAATGACATCAATGGTCAATGAGTTAGGTTTAAGAGTGGAAACCTGTGGCCAAATCTGCAAATAAATGATTTTGAAACATGACATAGTATCATATACGACGAAAAGTTTATTTATTTTTTAATTAGGATACGATACATATAAGTTATGTATTTAAAAATGTAAAAAAATTCATAATACCTATAAAGCTACATGCAAATCCAAATTTCAAATCACATTTCTTGAATATTGTGGAAATAAAAAATATATATAATTATCATAATAAAATATTTTTTTTGTTATTTACTTATAAAAATAAGATTATCATTCTCTTTAATTTTTTAAAATAAGAATAATTTTTTTTGGTTTATGAAAAATAATATTTATATGTTTCTATTTTATAGATACATTCTTAAACTTTTATTAAGTATAAATGATTTAAAAGAAATAAAATAAAAGTATTGATATTCCATAGTTTTTAATACTTCATTCATACGTATTAGAGAAGCGTCGATAAAGTATCCAACACGATACATATCAGATATCATATGAATACGTGAGCAAATTCAGGTATCTGTGCTTTATAGGTTTGAACACATTGATTTCAATCCAAAAACTCATAAAATCTAATCAAATTGGATCGATTTGGATCAAATTTGGATTATCAGGTTATCCATACTAATGCACACCCCTGGTTCATCATTGATTCATGCAAAAAGAATGTACTGTCCAGCAATGCCCATATCAAGTATATTCAAGTTTGTCCTATCCTTTTAACGAAATAATAGTAAAATACTTAGTGTCACAATTAATATCAAGTTTATCATACAATTACATGTTAAACTTAATATCACGCTTTTATTTAAAAATCATTAAAAGCGTCTAGGCTAACCATTGTTGATAATTAAATACTTGATAGGTTCTTCCAAGACCCTGACGCAGAAAAAATGGGGTTAGTAATGATGGTCTCAGGTCTGGCATGGGCTGTGAAGGAAAAGAAACTTACGGCCTGTTTACTTTGAGAAATGTTTTTTGTTTTCTCTTTTATTTATAAATTTGCCACATTGATTTCAATTTACTTCCTGTTTTCAAAGATTTGTACAGAAAATGGAGAAAAGAAAAAAAATGTAGTTTTCACTACTCACCATACAAATTCTTGGAGACAGATACAAAAAACTGAAAACAAGGTGACAATTTTGTAATTAAAAGTTTAAATAAAAAATGAAAAAAAATAAATCAAAATAGAAGTAAATAGACCAAACCAAGTCTCATACTTCAGTTCTACTTAGTATGACAAATCCTGATAACTGGCCATGCAAGGGTAAGTTCGATATGGGTGCAAAAAGGTAAAAAAACTATGGATTAGTTTTCAATACAATTTTCCGAACAGAAATGATCCAGGAAATTTCAACCCCATTTTTACCGACACACCTTACCCAAAGGTATCTTTGGATACAATGATTTTATTAAGAAGGTTTTTTCTTTGGTGTGATGTGAACATTGTTATAGGACATTGCAAAAACTTCATAGCAGTAAAACAAAAAGAGAAGGAGCAGTGATTAGTACATAATAGATCAGAAGTGGAAGAGAAGTAATGGGTAATGAATCACATAAGCCAGAGTTGAGGTGGAAATGGATTTTCTAGTGACTGCCTAGACAGGTTGCAGCAATGGAGAGATGAAAGGGAAGTGGTGTTCTGGTAGAGCAGAAGGGCATATAAATGTGTTTAATGGGAGCGGGTAAGCAAGGAGTTGGTTGAGGAGTGAATCTGGAAGAAAGCTAGCCTCTCACAAAGCATGCAGTAACTGTAACTTCCTAAATTTTTAGTTGCAGCTGTAGTCCCCAAGTTTAAGCCATTCAGAGTGAGTTTCTATGAAGCAATAAGTGTTCATTCAGGCAAACTTAAGCCAACTTGCAAAAGGGTTGTTGTTTGCATTAGAGGTCAATTGTAGGAAGGTTTAATTGAAAGGAAAGCTCAGTTTGTTCATAAAAAAAAATATGTAGAACCATCTAATAATGATGTTCAAATTAGAGATTAGGTAAAGAGGGAGGACAAGGGACAATCGAGAATGAACAGACTGGACAGGCGCAGAAGAACAAATTCCTCTTAAGGTAGGTCAGGCTAAAAAAACATTCCACCAGAAATCTACCGTTATGCCTCTTGATTTCATAGTTTTGAATCTTTTGATTGTAGTTAAGTTCTACAGTATAAGGTGAATGAGTCGATATCTGGTTGTGCCAGAAATGAACTTCGTATTCATGCTTATGGATCAATTATGCATTACAATATAAGAACATACATAACTAACCAGTATAGAAAAATGAAACAGGATATGATTAAGTTGCAATGTGGTACAGCAAAATTGGATGATTCACAAAATTAAATCTTACCCCAGAATTTTTCATTCTCCATAAGGATTCTCCACTTGAATCAATGACAACTATCCCACCTAATATAGCCCTGGACAAAGAACTTACATTAGGTTTGGAAAGATGTTTTAAACTAAATGCATCTTAGCACTTGATAGTTATTAACAAATAAAAAAATGATGATAACATGGAGGGATAGAAGCAAATTCGACTTAGTGCTTAAGTAACATCCCCTAAAATATCCTTTTGCATGATCTATACTCAATCATGGATATAGCTCATCTATATTCGGACTGATATTTGGATATTATGGGGTGCTTAAGTACCATATTGAGAAATATAGGATGATTGGTGAAGTATATGAGAAATATCGCTAGCTCTTGAGGATGGATTTCCCAAGTGCTTGGGTACATATCAATTGGTATCAATGCTGGTTGCTGGTGTCTGTTTGAAAAACAACCAAGACGTCAACCCCAAAGGGCAGTGCTCTGACCAATGGGATTTAGGTTGTTCAATCATCATGTATCCCAAATTCAAATATCCAATGTGCAGTTACAGGCTACTATGTAAAATGATGAAGATAAGCATAATATATTCAAAAGAATTTGAATTTTAAGGGAGAGCAGACCAAAAGATTAAGTTACTTTCAAGAAAATGTACTTTGCAGAATCCTACCCATGAATTTGCAGATAAATAGGGAATGTGATTAAGCAAATCGTGGAATTTTGTAAGCAAATTTTATTTGTAACTGATAAAGAGAAGAAATCAGGAGGAAAATAAATAATGAATTGCATGTACAAGGAAAAAACAAAATAAAAAAGAAAAGGATAGGTGGTTTTTAACTAAGAAGTCATGTGTTTGATGAAGAAATAGAGTTTGTAAGGAAATCATCTCACTCTCACCGGACTCTAATTTATCATACAAGGTTGGATAAGCAAGAGAGTCACTCAACTATCATCATTCAATTATATTAAGAATTAAATTCCAAGATCATATTTATACATGCCTATAACACTAGGCAATAGATTGCATGGGATCGACCAAGAAGAAATCACAAAATACAAGTAGGTGTAACTAAATTCAAAGAAAAATACAAGCAGTAGATCCTCTAATACACTCTTCTGAAACATATTCTCCACGATTGACTGAAATGTATTGAAAATTCTAGAATTTTATGGATATCGTTTCGCATTTAATGAATCTCTCTCTTCATTTTGTAGTTTTCAATAAACTATATTAAAGTCATTAGAAAATTTATTTCTAATTGGTGTGTAATGTAAAATCTTTTACATCAACACGCATAATTAAACTTATTCAGCAAATAACCATTTTATATAAAATTAACACAAAATACATAGAAACCTTCGCATGTTAGAAGCTACGGTGGCATATTTAACTAGCAAATTTGTATTCAATTAACAAACATAATCTCTTGCATCTCGTAGAGCTTCCTAGCATAAAATTTTGACTCGAATGAACAGAAATTAACAACCACAATCACGAAGGAAATTAAAGTTCATTACGCTGTGAAGCCGAGATAGAGAATAGAAGACCGCGCCGTCAAAATCCGAAGAGCCAGTTCAAAATTGGAAGCTAAGCCACCACCACCAGCAGACCTAGGTTTATAATCGTGCCTGCTTCCGCTCCTACTGTATCCGTAGCTATACTGGGAATAGTGGTTGTTTCCGCCGCCGGAACCGGAGCTCCGCCGGAAGTTGTAGTTGGCGCGCTTGCGATCGTCCATGAGGACCTCGTAGGCCTCGGATACCTGCTTGAATCGAATTGTAGCGTTTTCCCTAACGGTCCTCGGCGATTGGGAATGCATGTCCGGGTGGAACTGAAACGCTAGTTTCTTGAACGCGGCTTTGATTTCCTCCTTGGTCGCGGTTCGGTGCAAGCCTAGAATCTTGTAATGATCCATTTACCTGAATCGGATTGGGTTTGAGTTTGTTTTGGCTTTTGTTGATTGCTAGGGTTTATGGAATTTTCCTGCCCTTTCTCGGTGAATTTTCTCGGAATAGTGGCGAAGGAGAAATAAAGGAAAGGGGTTCTTCCTTCCCAAAGGGGGTTTTGGTTATTCATGGTGCGCAGGAACACAAATCGTGGCACTGCAGTGGCCGCTGCTTTCTTCGACAGGTATAAGTTTAAATGTTTTTGTTGAAATTTAAATTATTGTGTCTTTTGCTTATAAAAAAAGAAGAAAAAACAGTAACTATTATTTGAATGAATTCTAAAATGAATAAACGTGAATAATCAAATTTTTGAGACTGGATATTAGTTTTTCTAGTAAAAAATATCGGAATAAAATTGGATTCTAAGAAGAGTGAAGAGATAATAGTATTAGTAAGACAAAATACTCTTGTTTTAAAAAATATATATTTATTTTGTATTAAATGTTAATTAGAATTTAATTTTCTCAGCGACCAACTCCACCCATAGACAACATCCCCCCTCTGTAGATCCCATCATTCAGCCACCATCTCCGCAAGCACCTCCACCCATAGACTACAGAGAAGCTGACCTCTTCTTTCTCTCACCCAAAATAAACTCTTCACCAAGCCACCCCTTGACTCTCCCTATATGAAAGAGCTCCCATTACAAGTTTATTAGAAGTTATTTTATATTGCAATTATATTTCTGCTCTTACTTTTTCTCTCTTTTAAACATTTAAATTCTGAAAACAAATATTAAATTTTAACTAAACATACTTTATATTTATCCAGAAATAATATTCTATAAAGAGTAATTCTTAAAAATAGAATAATGCATCTTGAAATAAACACTTCTTAATGCAGGGTGTAGTATACAACACTCTTAAAAGAGGGGAGAAAGGGCAAAGGGGTGTCTAACACTTTGCCACGATGACAGCAATATACACCTGAATATGCAGAATGCAGTAATCTATGAAACAACTCAATCTTTCACACAAATTTGAGACCAAGTCTGATTAAAAAGAGGTCATTATAATGCAAGAAAAGTGAGTCCAACAAACTATAATGCAACTGGATTTTATTTTCGGTATCCAGTACATATATGGATTTGGGAGATGTGTAAATGTGGCCAAATGCAACATGCATTTGATCCATTACAAAAAGGTTATGTTGAAATAGTGACCACCATCCACTGGACAAATATGCATTGCTACATGTGTTCATACTACTCACCAGCTTGTACTTTGAAACTATTAATGCTTCAGTGGTCCTATAGAACTCCCTTGGTTTCAGGCAACCCATACAATATAATGGTTTCTATTTTGTTTCATCCTTGCATTCATTAGGATTCTCTAAATTGTCTTGAACTTGTTCTTTGAGCTCATTTTGCAGTGTTCTTTGTTCTGGAATGAGCTGGCCAACCTTTGGATACTTTTCTATGAATTTAAATTCCCAGTCCTCTAAAATTGTAAGCTCTGACTCGCCTAAACCTTCGAGGTTCCCATTAATGTCTTCAGGTTTAAAAGACAGGAGTGCAAGGGCTCTGCTACACTCCTTCCCTGCAAACATTGCATAAGGTCCGCCGGGACCATAAAAATTCCTGCATGTACATAATCAAGCAAAGTTTGTCAGTGTCATCACTCATACCAAGTAAGCACAAACTCAATGTGTTTTAAAAAGTGAGTGAAATGTATCACAAGATGACTTAGATATGATAAGAAGTAACCAATCAACTTTTCAGTTTTTAAAGACAAATCAAAAGTTTAACTCATATACCATCCGTGTAAACTATTTTTACACAGACATTCAATCAGATTCGACCACTTTATCACATCATTCTATTCACAAATAATATTATAAGATGGTATGGTGCATTCATACTAGATATTTGTGCAAAAATATTCGAATAAATGACGATATGCTGTCAATTTAATCCTTGAAAAATGTAAAATCTGTCCCCGAACGTGTAAAAAATTCAAATTTTACACAATTCAGGACTAAAATAAATATAATGCTCTTTTAACACTTTACATTTCAGCACTATAATAGCAAAATAATCTAAAAACACTTTACATGCAAGACTTTTTTTTACACATTCAGGACTAAAATAAATATTTCGCTCTTTTAAGAATTAAATTAACTGTGCCTCGTGTTTTTAAGGACTAATTCATCGTCCACTCAAATATTTTACAGCAAAAGTGCATATAATATAGATATTAGAACCTTTATTTTACTAAAATTTGATGTGATTTGACAAGTTACCAATTCATATCATAAAATCTCAAATGGCTTAATCTTACTATACAGGAATAAATTAGTGTAATTTCCGATGACCAATTTGATGCTTCACTTCTTATTTTTGTTTTATAATTTTGTTTCACCGATTCTCATGAAAGAAACTGTCTACTCATAACGCCTGTATGGTTGCATGTCAACCAAACTTTATTAACGTTCAAGTTGAAGCAACAAATTGTGGATAGATGAGATGATGTGAAAATTTAGGAAAAACTTGAGTCAGTGATATGTCCTAACACATTTATAAACTTAGATTGTTATATGAAAGGAAGTTAAAGGACCACGCTTCAACTTATTGGTTATTTCACTGTTTTATTTGTTACTCGTTCAATGAATGCAATTCATTTAACTCACGAACTCTTACACTGCAATAATGTTGAACATTATATGTTACTTGGCGTCCATTCTTTCAAAATAGACGCTTCACAAACTCATATTTAACTCCTAACTTCACTTTAGAAGATTTTCGGTAATGTTATTTGATCTATTTCCATTTAAAACCATTACATCGAACCCTATATATTGGAAGCTAATCTCATGATATATGGTTAAAAAACTAGCTTGACGATTCACAATTTGAATTTTGATTTGATAAGCATGGTATATAAACTAAAGTCATGAATCCAAGCATAAATTTTGGCACCAGAGTGAGTTAAACTCAAACAGCTAATCCAAATTTCAATTAAGAAATCATCCACAAAAGCATTAGATTTAAAAAATCCCAAGTGCATGACGAAAATAGACTGCAGATAGAATATTAAATCATCATTACAGCTGCCAAAATAACCCAATAGGGATTACAGATTTCTAAAATTTGACAATACTGAATAAATGTAGATTAGCTTATTTATCTAACACTCAATACTCTCTCTCTCTCTCTCTCTCTCTCTCATACATACATACATATATATATATATATATATATATATATATATATATATATATATATATATATATATATATGTAAGCAAGGTATTAGGTGAGAACATGCTCATGACTAAACAACTTTTTACAACAAAACCATAAATAGAAAGTCAAAAATAAATTTACATAAAACTAACTCTAATAATTTATGTACCCTTTTAATGTCACGATCTTTAATTCCTGAGTTATTTTAGCAAATGCTCCCAGTATATATCTGAAATTTAAGTAACTAGTAATCTCGACAATTCATGTATATACTTTGTCCCTTGTCACCAACAACATAAGATTAGAAATAAGGTACTGAAGTTTAGCCCTCAATCAAAATGTAACTCATCAAAATTATTTATGAATTTGTTTGAATGACATTTTTCAATTTTAAGAAAAATTAATTAAAATTATTAAAATAAGCATACACATAAATATAAGCTAGAAGTCATTTCGTATAATATTTATAAGCTTTTAATTTTAGTTTAGACAAGTTAATTTTATGAACTTAGAGATAAAATTTTACAGAGACTGCAACATCATTTAAAAAAATTTCCTTTTTTTTTCTAACATGTAATTAGGGAAATGTTAGTTTTTAAACATCCATAATAATAATAAAAAAATGACATTCTCATAGATAAAAAAAAGCACACAAAAATGAAAGGAGTACCTGCCAGTGGACACGTCATAGATCTGGCCTTTGATTGCCATCAAGAGGGGTTTATTGGGGTCGGAACCGTCGTAGGCACGCAACTCCCGGTCCGTTACTTGACCCAACTGGACCGGTTGGCGAGGCGGTTCGGGGTCATCGAACCCGGACTGGGCTCGGGCCGAAACGACGGGGGGTTTGTTGTAGTCTTCGGGGGACACAAACATGGCGGTCACGGTTCTGTAAACGACGACCATCATAGCCAGAATGGTGAAAAACGCAGCGGGAGATAGCCCCGTGTAAAACGTTAACACTTCCATCACGCTCGTGTACAAACCCATTTCTGAACCCTTTTCTCAAACGAATGGCTTCTGAAATGGAAGAGTGGCAGAGTTGGTAGGTGAGATTGGAATTGAAGCCACCTAACACTGGACTGGTCGTTTGGGCTGTGCATTCTTCGGTTCTTTGGATTTTGGAACGGTATCAGTGCACATCTTATGTGGCTTCCCACTTCAGTTTTAGACTGATATTTTTGCCACGTTCGTATATTATCCAACTTTAATATTAGATTGAAATTCAAATCTATTTAATTAGGTAAAATTGATTAGTTTTTTTTTTAATTTAATTTAAATATAAATTAGTTTCTATCAATATCTATTTAATTTTAATAAAATTGATATCTAAAATCGAGATTATTTTTAATAAATTTAAATTAGGTTAATTTAAATTGATTTTGTTAGATCTAAATAATAAAGATATTTTTTAAGATAAAATTGTTAAATTTGTAAGATAAAGAAAATAATATTATTGTTTATTATTTTTTTAATAAATGGAAATACATGGTTTAAAAGGTCTGTACATTCATATTTGTTTATAATTTTATTTTGTTTTCACTATCCATTCTTTAAATATATTTACCTTTCTTTTTCCACTGATTACATATTATATTTTTTCTTTTATATATTTTATTTTTTTTAAATATATAAATTATAATAAGTATTTTTTTAATTATAATATTCTTACTATTTAAATTCTTTTCACTTATTATTTCTCACTATTTGCTTATATAAACATTTGTGACATTTGATTATTATTATTATTTGTATACGTAAAAGTAATTTACATCACTATATAAGATATATAAAAGAAGAAGTGATTTTATTTTTGATTCCTTTTATTTTTTTCTATAATTTTACAAGTATCTATATTCACGGTGGAAACAAACCGATTAAGGGGTTTTGGAAAAAAGTAGGAGGCATACAAAAGGTAATCACTATTGGTCCATCTAATATAATGAGATTTCTCATATCAGATACAAATGTTATTATTGATAATCCTGTCCCTCTAAAAGTAACTGAGTTGTCTATAACGTTCGTGTTCCAAGTAGTTCTTGGGAAGAAGGCAGTGATGCTTATAGAAAAGGGATTTGGAATATTTGACGCCTCCATCTACTTAAGTTGGTGTTTAAATAAAACATGCACAAAAGATCACAATAGGGAGTGAGAACATTTATCATTTACAATAATACAATCTTATAATATATAAATATATATGTTTCATCTTCCTCAACCTATTCTATTTTATGAAGATTTAAATTAAATTTGTAATGACTAAGTCAGGATAAATGAGCCTAATTTTAATCACTCTCACAATGATATTTTACTCATTTAAATCCCCAAGGTCCAACCTCCATCTACAATATCATCAAATCTTCACAAATAGATATTATTATAATTAAATAATATAACTATATATTAATAAATAGGATCGCTGCATTACTAGAGATAAAATAAAGTAAACAAACGATGATCGATGCGTAACTGGAGATAATTAAAATAGAACCAGTGCAAGACTGAAGATAAAATAAAATAAACAAACAGGACTAGTACATAACTGGAGATAATTAAAATAGGATCAGTGCAAGACTGGAGATAAAATAAAATAAACAAACAGGACCAGTACCTAACTGAAGATCATTAAAATAGAACCAGTGCAAGACTGGAGATAAAATAAACAAGCATAAGGTAGGACCATTATGTAGTTAGAGATAAATAAACAAATAACTAAATAAATAGAATGAGGTTAGGGACACCTCACTGCACAACTATAAGCAAAATAAAATATATTTAATGATAATATTCTCCTCCCCTACCTTAAGAACTGCGGATGAGGTACCAAAATTTTGCAGAAACAATTTTTTTTCTCTTTTTCTCTTCCTCCCTCTCTCTTTCTCTTTCTCCCTTTCTCTTTCTCTTTCTATTTCTCTCTCCTTCTTTCTCTCTCTCCTTCTTTCTCTTTCTCCTTCTTTCTCTCTCCCTTTTTTTATAATGTTTCAAACAGATAAACAGATTACAAATAGTAAAGATTAGAAATCATCTCTCTTGAGTCACACAAGAGATGAATATCTCTTTTGAAGCCACAAAAGATGAAGACAACTTTCCTAGAAACAACACAACATTCAATCCACTAAGAAACTCACTCAGTGATTCTTATCGTTTTTAGCCCACACTAGGTTTCAAAGCCCCTTTTTGCTCCCTACTCAAAGTTCTCTCATCAATCACAACTCTTAACTTCTAATTATAAAAAAGGTTATCTTACAGAGAGCATGAGGGACCTTTAAATAGAGTTTGTAGGGTGTTGGATTTAGGGTTTTCGAAAATTAGGTTACAATTTGAATTTCAAATTCATAACTGTCATAGATAATCGATTATCCTAAGTGATTATCACAGAGCCAATTATTAGAAAATAAAAGTTTGTCCAAGATAATCGATTATCATGGGAGATAATCGATTGTTCCAGAGCCAATTTCAGAAATCCAAGATTCAGAATAATCGATTATCCTGAGTGATAATCGATTATTCCAGAGCCATTTTCACAAATTAGATTTTTAATGGATAATCAATTATCCTAAGTGATAATCGATTATCACAGTGCGATTTTGATTAAACATGAACCTTTTGTGGACAGACTAAGTGCTGACTATTTTGAACTCTATTTTTACAGACTCGGGTTGACTAAACAGAGTTATTACAAACGATTATAAATGAAGTATAAGTCTTCTAATCTTGAAGTCTTTTGTTCTTGAATCATCATCAAAATCTTTTGACATCATATCCATGCATTTTTAACAATCCCCCCTCTTTTGATGATGATCAAAATTTACTTTAAAGCCTCTTTGTAATAACCTGTTTTCAGTCACAATTATCATAGAAAAGATATTAAACACACCAGGCTTTAAAATATTTTCTCCCTTTTTTTATCATAAACAAAAAAACAACAAACAAACAAAAAATAAACATTAATCATAAACAGAAACTCCCCCTCAATAAATGCTTGAAAATAATTTGACTCCCCCTTAAGAAATCAATTGTGGATATTATTTAGTCAAGTCAACAATACAGATTATAACATAGATTGGAAAAAATAGCTAATCTTATGATAACAAGAGTCTTAAAATTCATCACTAAGGGAATCATAGCCAAATTCTAAGTCAAACTTGTGTTCCAGAGACGTCACACGTCAGTCCACAATTCCACCGACTAAAAACACAAGAATCAATACAAAAAGAGTCGTTGCCAACAACCATTTTTTGAATCTCAACGCCCAACAACACAGGATAATCGATTATCAACTGTGATAATCGATTATTTGTGTATTAGTTGCCCAGAAATTTTTCAGAAATGCATGGATAATCGATTATCACTTGGAATAATCGATTATTCCAGAGAGTTTTGCAAATGTGAATATGTATTAGACTTAGAATAATTGATTATTGCCTTTGATAAAGGTTTGCAAATGTGAAAATGTATGACTTGGAATAATCGATTATTGTCTTGGATAATTGATTATTCCATAATGAATTTTAAGGATTTTACAATTTTTGCAAAAGTTAGGATATTTCTAGTATTCCTTAATCTCTCCTAAGTTCATAGAATCTATCCTTAGGGAGAGGTATGGTAAATATATCTGCTAATTAATGTTTTGTGTCTATGTATTCAATTTTACAATTTCCCTTATAAATATGATCTCTTAAGAAATTGTGCCTAATCTTAATGTGCTTAGTTCGGGAGTGCATAATAGGATTTTTAGTCAGATTAATCGCACTTGTATTATCACACTTCAAAGGAATGTCATTAAGAATGATATCATAATCTTCTAATTGTTGCTTCATCCAAAGGATTTGAGCACAACAATTTTCAACCGCTATATATTCGGCCTCAGTCGTGGATAAGGCAACACATGTTTGTTTCTTAGAGTGCTAAGATACTAAGGAAGATCCTAATAAATGACAGGTTTCACTAGTACTTTTACGATCTATTTTACAACCCACATAGTCAACATAAAAAAAAAACCTATTAAAGTAGATGAAACTCCAGAAGGATACCATAACCCAAATCTTGTGGTTCCTTTAAGATATTTTAAGATCCTTTTTACTACAGTTAAGTGAGATTCTTTTGGATAAACCTGGAATCTAGCACACACACAGACAAATTGCATGATATCAGGCCTATTTGCTGTTAAGTATAATAAAGAACCTATCATACCTCTATACATAAATTAATTTATTTCCAAACCTGATTCGTCCTTATCTAGATAGTAGGACGTTCCCATTGGTGTGTTTGCTTCTTTTGTAGTATCCATTCCAAACTTCTTGAGGATTTCCTTACAGTATTTTGATTGAGACACAAAAGTGTCATATTTTAATTGCTTGATTTGAAGTCCAAGAAAGAAAGTTAATTCCCTTGTCATGGACATTTCAAATTTACCCTGGATAATGCTTGCAAATCCTTCACACAAAGAGTTATCAGTAGATCCAAAAATAATATCATCAACATATACCTAGACTAATAGAATATGTTCACCTACTCTTTTAATAAATAAGGTTGAATCAATTTTTGCTCTAGAAAAATTATTTGATAATAGAAAAGTGTTCAACCTTTCATACCATAATCTAGGAGCTTGTTTTAGTCCATAGAGTGCCTTTTTTAATTTAAAAATGTGATCTGGGTATTTGAAATATTCAAAACCCGGAGGTTGTTGCACATATACATCTTCTTTAATAAAACCATTTAGAAAAGCATTTTTCACATCCATTTGATACAGTTTGAATTTCATCATAGAAGCATAAGCAAGAAGTAGGCGTATAGCCTCTAACTTGGCAACAGGAGCATAAGTCTCATCAAAGTTTATACCTTTCTCTTAACAGTACCCTTTTACCACAAGTCTAACTTTTTTTTTGGTTATATTTCCTTTTTCATCAAGCTTGTTTCTAAATACCCATTTAGTTCCAATCACTTGATGAGATTTTTCTCTTGGAATCAATTCCTAGACTTGATTTCCT